CATGAAAAAGGTCGTCAAATTTACTTTCTATTATATTTTTTAAGCTGAATCATGCATCTTGTGCAGCTGGAAACATATGAGGTGCAGCCTGATGGTCCAACCCACGGGGACAATGGACCTATCAGGGTATCCTATGGCGGTCGCGAATCAGGTCTCTGGGAAGAGTTCATCCATGTTGGTACAAACCTACCACAAGCGGTCATATGCCGACGACACGGATGATCTAGAAACATGCAACGTATACAGTGTGCGTTACTGATTTCCATCTCTGTTTGCCACCACTAACAAATATCATCTCAGCCATGGGCGAAGTGAGCCCATACTCGTAGCTTATTGTAAATGAGGCTCATATATGAGAAGGTATATTAGTGGAACGACTGGAAGGCGTTCTGATGCGGCTCATCACTATGTCTACAACCAAGCCCACAACCAGAATTTACAACTTTGGGTCGGCAAACTCGTGAAACGCGTTATCTTTGAGTGAGTATCCACCTAGAATCGCAACTATATTCAATGGTTGACAGGCTTTTGTAAAACCAAAGGGGCATGCGTGCTGTAGGTGTCGAGTTCACCTGCGATCCAGTATCCTGCCCAGGTGCAGATCAATCATCGAGCATCGTGAGAGCAGCAAAGCTTGTTGTTGTCTCTGCTGGAGCATTTGGTTCACCAACCATTCTCGAGAGGTCCGGGATCGGTGCCGAGGCAGTCCTCAAGCGTTGTGGTATCGAGCAACTGGTGAACTTACCTGGCGTTGGAGAAAATTATCAAGGTCCGCCTTCGCCCATTAAGTTGATCTTAGCTCAAGGTTATTAGATCATCATGGCTGCTTCGTTCCATACTTTGCTGCTGACGAGGCTGTTACCTTGGACCCCCTCTGGCATAGGAAGGAGAGTGTTGTGCAGGGTAAGTTTGTTGTTCACATATTCTCAACGCACCTTTCAACCATCCAAATATAGAAAGCCTTGCGCAATGGAAAAGTAATGGGAAGTCGCTCATAGCCCAAAAGTCTGCACGAGTTATTGCTACTGATGACGTACTGATGAGTATTGCAGTGGCTGCGATGCCAAGATTAAGTGGCGGCCTGACGAAGATGAGCTGAGAACCATGGGTTCAGCTTTCCAAACGCCATGGAAAGAATTCTTCCAAGATCGCCCAGACAAGGCTGTTGCCATATTCGGTATATGTGCGGGGTTTGTGCATATCACTCTGTTTTGATGACATGGGTATGCTCACGTTAGCCAGATATGCTCCACTCTCGAGCACCCTTCCTTTCCGTAAATATCTGGGTGTCGGCTATTTTACAGTATTGCTCCCCCGTCTACACCGTGATTCTGCTCTGAATGTTTTAATAGCTTTACCCCAGGTCTCTTGGGAGCGTTCATATCAAACTGGGAGAGAACGGCAAGGAAGTCCTCGACTTCACTGCGGGCTTCCTAGACGAGTAAGTCGTCACATCTCCTCTCAGAAATCGCATGATCAGGATATTTTGTTCAGTCCATCTGATATCGTAGCTCTTAACTTTGCATACAAGAAGACGCGAGAAATATCTCGACGCATGCCTTCCTACCGAGGTGAAGTCACTTCAGGCCACCCTTGTTTCCCAGAGGGAAGCGTCGCAGCATGCAGCGAAACGTCCGGGCCTGTGAACTTGAATGCGCCTGACATCATCTACACGACCGAAGATGACGAGGCAATCGACAAATTTCATCGTGACTGCAGTACGTCCTTACCGTGATCCTCAATTTTACCGCAAAGATACTGAATTGGATTTCAGCCCAAACATCGTGGCACTCGGTGTGTGCAATTGAAGGTTTGATGATTCTGCTTGACTGATCTCTGCGGGTGTAGCTGGGGACTTGCGCCATGAAACCGATGTTAGAGAAAGGTGTCGTCGACGCGCGGTTAAACGTGTATGGCGTGGCGGGCCTGAAGGTTGCAGATATGTCTATCGCGCCGAAAAATGTTGGCACGGTGGGTATTGGATTGGCAACTTTGATGCGTGGCCTAACTGTCTTCCCAGAATACGTACTCAACGGCACTCCTCATTGGAGAGAAGGCTGCGCTGATCATTGCTGAAGACTTGGGTATGAATTGTAGAGAATACATTCAGGGGTAATGGGAAAGTGGTTTAAAGTGCACGGCCCATCGCGTCCTTGATGCTTATGTTTGCAGGAGTGATCATGAACATGTACTTCAGTAGCACGCCCAGAATGCGATCAGTGTGTCTCAGGATGGCCGTCGTGGATTCAGATGAGTTGATGAACCTATTTGTGATACTACGGCAGAATTTTAGCAGGGTAAAAGAGGACGGGATATGGAATCCTTACTTGGACAATGTAAACCAGCAATTCTTGAGGTTGCCGTCGACGAGAAATAAAAGTTGCTTGCTGCAGCCCGCTATGCCCAAGCTCAGCTGGAGTGTGATGTCTGTCTGAAGAGGTGACGCCTGTCGCATCCATGCTATTGGAGGCCGCTCATAAGAAGACATCCCCAGGCACCGCCTCCAGCCGAGATCTGCAAATGAAAGGAGTAGAAAGATGATATTGCGAACATGGGTAGGATGGGGTGAAGGACTCTAAATATCAACGACTAGTGGTGTGGCAGCCGAGAAAAGAGGATTGTCTGTCCATAATGAGATAGGTACTGGATATACAATTACAATATTCAAACTTTGGAAATTGGAAATTGGGGAACAGTCATGTAGCGAAATGAAGATGATGGTTTGATCGTGATAAAATAAAATGTGGTAGTAATCAATCCAGGTCAAAATCTCGGATTTTGAGAAGATCTTCAAGAGATGATTTCTTCCTCTCGGGATCAGCCTCAAAGCTGTGAGCTTTTGTTCGAACGAATGGCCTTCGAAGGACAGGAGGCGCCCAGAAGTTGTCGCTCGGCAGGTATTGACGAGACACTTTTGGACGGGTGTTCGCAGCTTCTGACTTGACATATTTTTTAAGCTGGTGGATTCTCTGCTGTCTTTTCGCCAAAGCATCCGGTGCTACGAATCATGTTAATCTATGTCTCCTGAATACGTATCGCAGTAGGTTCACGTACCTAACATAACATCGGACGCCGCGTATGATTCCCGTGTCGGAGTCCCAGCGGCAGCATTCACTGCAGTCTGGATGGTCCTTTCACGAGCGGCCAGTGGGTTCTTCGGCACTAGTAACTCCTCGATGCCCAGTTGGGCACGAGTGTCGACTCCCCCACACCGTATGACAAAGTTACTCTCCAAAACGAACAAGAGCGAAGTGATTCGATCTGTACAAACGGTGAACAAAAAGTCCAACAACAAAACGACTGGTATTTACCCCCCATGTCGGCAGGAAACGCAGGTCTGCGGCGCCTAATCCAAAGAAGCAATTTGAAGTATGCCGACTTGTAGGGCAAGAGTTCTTCTGAACACAGAACGAAAATGTACAAGGCCACACCCTCGCGTCTGAGAGTTATCCGCGCGTTCTTGAACCGAGAGCATTATCGAAAGAGTTTGCGAGCCTTGAATTTATATTTACCTCTGTCAGAGCAATGATCTGCACGAAAAGATGATCGTCAGTTGACTGTAAAAGATGATTCGATTGTAAGGGCACGACCTTTCGACTGTAGAGCTGTAATTCGTGGTCTTCCAAGCGACCGAATTTCATAACATCATCGATAGCGTCCAGAAAATGGGTTAAAGAGCCCAGACGATGAGCCAAATCATTAACGACTGCTGGACAATCGAGTGCAGGGAAATCGTGATTCATGGTGTGATGTGAGTAGTTGGAAAGATGGAAAGAGGTAGGACGAAGGTCATTTAAAGGAGCAACAGTTTCCACAAGATGTGGATGTGGATGTTGTGGACGGCATGACTAATGAGATGTGGATTGTGAGCCCCAGCGTGGTAAGGACCCTGTGTAAAGGAAGGGCTCCAAGAGTTTACCGCGCTCGAATGCGTAAGCTGGTCATGCAACCATGGCATGAATGAAGGGCAAAAGGTCTTTATTGATTATGGAGAAACTCAAGGACAATCCGACACGACAATCGTTAAATTTGCATGGGTTCATTTGATTTCTTAATACATATGCATCGAATTATCAGGTATGAGAGTTTCAAACTGTGTCAAACAATCACCTCATGAGTACATAGCCCCTCTATAAGTCTCCGGATAATGGGGCAGTCTGCTTCCTCGTCGCGCTCGCGTTGCCCTGCTTGTACGCCCTCGCGACAAATGAATCACCAAATCGCGTTTCATCGGCCATTACGTCTTCGGCATCGTCGACCTCAGATTCATCAGCTGCGTTAGCGTTGCCCACAAACTTCGAGAAATCAAGCCTTTTTAGCTGAAGCTCTTCGCTTGATTCGAGGCCTTGCCAAAGTTTCTCTGTGATGCCTTCGTCTGCCTTGACTATCCAAAGTTGCTCGCGCCTTCCCTTGCCTTTATGGCTCCGAAAAGTAGTCAGTATGTAGAGAACGCTAAGATCTGTTTCGGCGAGCCAATCTTGAATTTCTTTCATAGGATAAATCGATGATGCAAAGAATGCGGAGAGGCGAATTGGGACGGCAGCAAGACGTGCTCTTATCACATTGAAAGATTGGGTCGGATCCTCAGATGCAGGCATGCTGAATGCATACTCTTTGTAGTCTCTCCGCAGCAATTCCCGCGTGTTGAGATGGGATGCGGAAGGCTTCTTCTCTCTCAACATTGTAGACAGAGACTGGACAGAGGAGAGATGGGCGATTAGCTGGTTATCTGATGCAGAGACTTCTTCGTTGTGTGCCAAAAGGGACTGGGAATTGAGAGCGCAGCTGCCTCCCTGTCGACGACCAGAGCTTTTCCTCCCTCTTTTAGGACTTGGGTATTGATCAAAATAGCATCAGCAAGAGCGTCGTCAATTCTGGGGGTATGGAAAGATCCGGGAACGATTGATACAATCTTGCAACAAGAGACGAGCAACTTCCAGCCGTTTCAACTACCCTGGGATCAGCTGTACTAGCACCCTTGTATTGTCCTTCATGCCTGTGATTATCGATCACTGCAACAACCCTACCTGTTGCAGATGCATAGTACCTTGTCTGAAGAACGTTGTGATCCACAAGTGCAAACTGCGACACCTGGAATGGGATCACCAGGGCAATAAAGCTCTTCAAAAGAGTGGTTGATTCCAGCGAGACCAAGGACGTACAAATTCTCCGCTCTAAGGACAAAATGTTCTTTAGGTAGGTGTAGTCATGTATACGATTGCTAGGCCGCAGACATCAAAGCTTGCCGCAGAATTTTGATAGGGAACCTAAGGCTTAGACTTGCAGATGGAGCGTATGTAGTTTTTGTAAGTCGGGGGAACTAGTAGTTGACAAGAGACCGCGAAAACCCATAGGACTGCCAGGAATATTTGGTAAAGATCATACGAGTCGGAGAGTCAAATCACGCGTCGGACTCCACCACTGGATTTTGCGTGACATGGCGGCGCTGTGATGGCTGAGCTTCCATTAAAAATTGAATGGTGTGAGTGAAGATGCATACCTTGACGAGTGCCAATGCTCAGTGAGTCATATTTTGAATTCTAAAAGCACGAACGTAAATTATAGAGGTCATCAGGTGCCTTTTTGCCTGCCAGTGCTTCCATCACTACTAACGCATGATTTCCACCTGACCGCCGCCTCCCCCGGATTTCGCAGGAAGCCTCCTTGCGTGTCAAACAAGGGCATTAAATTCGTTCGTGTGAGATGACCAGCATCATAGCGCTGTAACAGGGTCGACCCGGGCCCGGACGGAAGTTGGTAGCGCTGGAGAACAGAAAGGATGGTGATTAAAGGCTCCCTCAAGGCTCCCTCGACACAAGGTTGCGTCCTGCTTTCCATACATTTTCAGAAGGTCAAATTTATGCATGCAGACTGGCAGCAAGGTAATGAGCATATATAGCACATGTCGAGCTGACTGGAAGACTTATGAGCCAGAGATCAGCCAACTATAGACCACCACGGGATCTCAGTTCCAAATCCTCGAAATTAAAGAAAGTCAACCAAAGTAGGTAAAGTCTGCATCCTAGGTTGTCCTTTCATTTTCATCTGTAGTACGATGGATGTTTTTCAACCCTCCCCGATTGCCGATCTAAGGCATTTGCAATTCACATCATCAAACAACCGTGACTGTTCCGAGACTCTGCCTCTCTCTTCGCAAACTTAGTACCAGCGGCTTGTCTTTCTTTTCTACATTTTTGGCGTCTCTTCTCACTATTGCAGCTCGTCCCGATCTGGTGGTACGCGCAACTAGAAGAGGTGAACGAGATGGTCTCGTTGAGCAGGATTCATACTCTTTCTCAGACCATTATTGATCTGATCCATGTGTAGCATGGCTCCAAAAATGGACGAGGCATTTTACGTGGAATTACAAGAAGAAACAGAGGAGTGATCGGTCATGGTATTCGTGGATCAGGGAAAGATTTGGTGAAACTCAAGCTGACGGCCATCAGGCCTGCAATACTGACTGTTTGATGAATTCAGTCGCAGGATCCCTATCGCTCAAGGACAGTGTAATTTTCCCGGGAGCAACTCAACCCAACAACAAATTATGTGTTGCGAGGGTTATGCCAGAACCTGGATGACGTGCTTCGACTCTGGTCGGAAGTAATGATACGGGTAGACTTTGTAGTTCTGCTACTTCTGCATTATTCCTATGAAACCTTCTGTGGTTGACCATCGGGAATTTTTACAGGGCCGGAGCACAACGAGGGTCAGAGCACAGCTATCGGGCCAAGCACATTGTGCGACCTAGAAGGAACAAAAACGCTGCTATAGACCACTGGGCCACGGTGGTCTCACTCACAATGTGCCTACACTACTGTGTGCGCTTTGAATCATGAGGCGAGTATTAAAGGCAAGGCTTCAAACCAGCTCCCCATATCACTCGCCCGTCATGGATCCTATTACCTTCCGCTTTACCGAGCTTCCAACTGAGCTTGCCTTCATGGTCCTCAAATATGCCGCACAACCCACCTTTGATCAGGCTGAGAGATATGATCGCCAAAATCCATACTCATCCGCGCTCAACCTCTGTCTCGTCTCCAAAAGTGTCAGGCGCGCGGTACTCCCCGAACTCCTGCATACTGTATCACTGCGGGAACCTCGAAATGTGAAAGCGTTCGTGCAAGCTCTGCTTATGCAAGAAGCTTACAAGGAAGCAAACAACCGGGACTTCAAATTTGACTACGCATCCCATGTGCACAGGATGTGGATTAAATCCCCCGGTGACGATCTCGCACCAGCGTCTGAGCGTTCGCGTGTCATCAGCCTCCTCACCCCGGTAATATTTGCTGCGCCGTCCCTTGCTCTCGGTTGGACAAGTGTGGACCTCCTTGTAGAATGCCTAGAACACGCGTGGAAGTCCCGTCCAGCCATACTTGATGGCGAAGAACATCCTCGGCCTCCCTGGAAGACCCAGACACTGACCATAACGTTGGGGATTCCTATCAGCAACACAAAGTGGAACAGCCTCACAAGCACCCCACAGGGGTCCGCTTTCCTTGCTTCAATCCGTCGCCTCTCCAGCGCCACATACCTATACCGCGACTTCACGTCCCCCCTGCCGCCGACCTCATCCCAAGACTACAGTCTGCCTGATTGGATGAAGACCGCTCCACTGGCTTCTTTTACAAACCTTCAAACCGTCATACTGCCGTACCCGCGTACCAAAGGTCCCATCAGTATAGTTGGCGTGACCAGTAGGGGAATTGATATGCATGTAGAGATGCTGACGTTTCCCGCAACCCTGCTGAGAGCCCAGAACGGTGTTCCCAATGCAATCAAGGCGTTTACTGAAATTATATGTGGTCCTGGAGAGGAAGTAATCCGAGAGGATGGCACCCGTTTAGAGGTGTCGCGTACCAAGATACGCTGGTATAGTGGTTATGCGTGGGAGAAAGTTTGGGTCTGCTTGTTATGAAGTGAACCAGGAGCGTTATGATATATTACTGTACATATTGGCTGGCATGTATGTTTCTCGATACCAAGTAGATACTCTCGATGTACATCATAGATATTAGACCCATGCTTGTAAAATTCAATTGTACTTTGTTATGTAACTACCTATCGAGATGTCACTCGTTCACTCTACAAGGGTCTAAGGTCTAAGGTCTGTAAGGCATATAGTGACATAGCAACAAAGTGCTCTGAGTCAAAGTGTGCATGTTTCATTTCAACAACGTTATAGTTTTGCAGAACAAGATCGACTTGAAATTCCACGACTTTGTATTTCCTAAAACATGTACGATTTTATCCAACATCTCGACGAGTAGCTTACCTTCTAGCATAAATGAACGCCGTTCTTCCTCTCTCCCCGATGCACGAAACCATAACACGCATTCCCCAGTTCAACGCCCAAAATGCCTTGCACACCCATTCTGTTCAGCTCGCATAATTTGTTGACGCTCCTCGCCTTGTTCATCACACTTTCTGTTGCTCTCCTACTATAGGTTACTGTTCATGTTTTCTCTCCTTAATTGCGTTTGCGTCCTGAATGGACAATGTCCTGTTTTCTCCTTGATTTGTGATGCAAAAGTAAACTAAGTCGAAAATAAGTGAGAATTCAGACGACGAGTGGCCTTTTTCCAGCAACTTATTTTAGCCTTTGCTTATTTCACCTTATTGGGTGTAAAAAAGCGATAATAAGTCGAATTAAGGAACTTGTCGTTTTTTTGATGGGCTTGCTACTAGCAAGCAAGCTACCTTCCATTCAGTGGTGAAAAGAATTGATATATCTATTCTGCCACCAGTGGTGGACCAAGTTACACCGGCGGTGGGATTCGGAACGAACACGTGCTGAGGGCAAAAATGACCGAGAGGTTCAACCAATTTAGCTATGTACAGCATCCCCAACAAGAATCGGGTCCCGTCTTGGGGCCATAGATTTGTGGCCATGACCCTGCCTTGCACCGTGGCAAAGTGGCCTTAGAGGAGGCGCAGTAGTCACAGAGTACAAGCTGACGACTCAGAGGCATCGCTGCCAGTGCCACTGGGGTTAACATAGCACTGGGAGTGGTAAGGATTGTGAGATAAACGATTTGAACGAGCTTCATGGTATGAATTGTATCTGGTATAACTGTGCATCAGCCTATGATGTGACCATGTGAGGAAACCACACCGACAAAAGTCTGATTGCGCAATGTGCGTGAAGTTGCTATGACTCGGACAAAGTCTTAGAAGAGCTATTATATGCCGGTTCAATGAAATGCGATGATGGTGTGGCGGAAGAGGGTTACTCACCGCAATAGGAGGCGTTTGTGTCTGAGGCCTTTTCAACTCAACCGCGTTAATTTTATACCTGTTCTCGTCAGCACTGAAACCATACTCGAAGAAATTTTTCTATTGAGAAGACATGCAGCCCTTAGAAATCAGGATGCCGCGGGCTGAGGTTCCCATGTCGCTCCGATCTTGCTAAATACATAGCATGTACTGATTATCCATGGCTTACTGGTTGTAACGTATGGATCTCCGGTTCCAACTGCGTGCATGCGTATCTGTCGTGTACTTCCTTTATCCTAATGGTTCTGAGAGTATGTCCGCCTCACCTGTACGTGCACTCTCCGCCTCTAACTTCCTCCAGATTCATTTTACAGACTCTACCAATGCTCAAGCATTAAAACGCAACGCTCCACCTCGATGATTCAGGGTTGTCCTTTATGAGACGATTCACTCTACGGCGAGTCAGCGCTAGGCCGAGTGATGTCCTGCTGCAACGTCTATGTTCCCAGTTTCAAGTGTATGCACACCCATCGCATGGTTCCTTCATCCCATCCTAAATGCGACATTAGGGAAGTTCAAAGCTGGATTTCGAGGCTGATTTGGGTGCGATTTGGACGTGGATTTGGACTTGGATTTGAAAAACGCCGAAATCCGATTTCAACTTTGGCATCCCTCGATTTCGACCTGATTTCGACGGATTTGACTCACTGTCTTTGCGCTTGCCGCGTTGAAGTTTGAATTATCACAGCACAACGATAGTAAACAAGCGTGTAAGTCACGTTGTGCGTGTTTCAGAGTCCGACTCACCAGTTGACCATACTAAAAGTTTCACTGTCGACCAACCGGGGCTAAATCATGTGAAGCTCAGGCTCATAATCACGGCATGTGTATTGCGTAGCTCGGCTTCAAGTTCCCTTCACCGTGGCACATGTGGTGGCCTAGACTGCGATACTCGTTGAAACATTCATATCAGAACACCAACTTAACAAGGAAAGCAAAGTTGCTGCCGATCGGAAAGCGGTGGTTCTCGTCTGTTTGAAGGCTAAATGGTATAACCGTGACAAGCTCGGCAAGTCAAACTCGATACTTACCACAGAAGAGAACCTGTCGAGATAGCGTGAAAGAAGGCAGCATGGACGCGCGACCAGCTTGTAAGATGTTCTGCCTGTGTCCCTATGCGTCTGAAAGTAGAGAATGACTCGATTGGACCAAAGACAGATAAGACATGATGATGTGGTAGTGTCGGTTTTGTCAGAAAAGTACTTGAAGCAAATAGTTTCAACGTCACTCACATCGCTGCAATAATGGCACCAATGAAAAATGCCCCACTCCCCGGTGGGATAGGGCCTTAGGCTGAGGAAGAACATTATGATTGACAATACACATACGACTCGGGGAATGACTCGGGGTTGGCAGAACTTCCTAACGAATTGGCACTCGTGATGCGGCAGTATTAGAATAATGACACACCAAAGCTTCTAGCGCGATATCGGGAGTATAGTTTCCGACAAACCGAGCTTCCAGGAAGCTACCCAAAGCCCGAGGTGCCGGCTGAGAATGGCCCAGGGATATACCCCGCTTTTTAATTAGCTCACAGGCAGAAAATCACAGTACTTAGCTGGTACCATGTTGGTGCGCAGTTACATTTGCTTGACCGTACTAAAAAGATTTCTTTCACTAGATAACTTTCGACCAACCGGGGCTAAATCATGTGAAGCTCGTGATCACGGCATGTGTACTGTGTAGCTCGGCTTTCCTTCACCAAGGCACATTGTGGCCTAGACTGCGATACTCGTTGAGTCTGAAACAAACATTCATATCAGAACACCAACTTAACAAGGAAAGCAAAGTTGCTGCCGATTGGCAAGCGATGGTTCTCGTCGGTTTGAAGGCTTGCTAAATCGATGATAATGCTTATCGCACATCGTTCTTAAGTCGCAGGATCTGCGGGCTGGCAGGTACTACAAGGCGCATACTGAGTCCCGACTCAGACATCATCTGGATATGGCTACCGTACTATCCGTCTCAGACATGACGAAGTTGCAGACGGTCAAGGTGAGTAAACTTGAAGGGCGGCTCGCCTTTAATAAACTCAAGGTTGACATTATGTCTGATTCAGTACGCCAATTGTGAGTGTCCGCGGATCGTTCGAAAGCTGAACGGCAGCATTGACTCTTGTTTTAGTGGGCAGTCTTGCAATCCTCGTGAGTATCAAACACATTTCTTGTGTCTCTATCTCAAACCTCTTTTGACGTTGCAGGTATTTGATTATTGCATCACTTTTTCCGAAGAGGTCGAGGAGATATCTGTCTCTTCTTGAGTACTATTCTGATCACTCTCCACAGGTGCGGTGGACCTGGTTCAAACCATGGGATGTAACTCGTGTCATATTCTTCATTTCTCGATATTTGCCCTTCGCGGGTGTTGGAATGACTGCATATGGCGAGTGACCCACTCCGGTTCTCCTTATATTGTGTTACTGATTGGCCCATCTTAGACGCACTCAGCTTCAGCAATCTGGTAAGCTTGGATGGCAAAGAGTTTCTACGCTGAGCTCATTGCATGGGGAAAGTGTGCATTTACTTTGGAAGGAAATGGTGAGTCGACGTGCCGATCAGTTCATTTTTCATGAAACTCAAAGATTGCGGATGTCAGTCATTCACATCATAGGTATTATCGCTGCGGAAGGTGCGTGTTCCGCATGCACATCAAGAGCGTAATGGATCTCACGTCCTTGGCAGCCCTGCTGATTATTCGAACCTGGGCATTCTGGCAAAGGAGCACAAGATTGCTGATCGGTTTGTTGATTTATGGTGTGGTGCGTGTCTCGCAGAGCAGGAATGATAACGATAACATGGATTTTGATTATTGCATAGTTGGTAGTTGCCGCCGCCATTGCCGTAGATCTCATCCCTACGATGTTGATTCCAGGAGGTGAGTTCGTTAGTGTTCGCGAACGACAGTCGTTCTAATACGACTATCAGGGGAGCCTCCCACAGGAACCTGTTACTTTGAGAGCACACGCAACAGTGCAGTCGTATACACGTTCTTGGCGATGTTTGAAAGTGGTCAGTGATCATCCAAAGCTATCTATTGGCCTTCTTACTTATGAAAACACGGCAGTGATGCTGATCCTTACTGTATATAAGAGAGTTCACGACTATAACGACTTCCAGAGCGGAATTGTAATGACCATATATCACGATGGCATGTTTTACATGTCATGCATCCTCAGTGCGTGTAATTAGCTGGCTCTCCAGATATCATTGAGTAACGCATTCAAGGAAGCCATCACACTCGCCAATGTTATTATAGGAGCTGCACTTCCAGTACGTATCTAGTCTGTCAAATCCTACGATTCGCTAACTTTGTATTATTTTCTGCAGAGCGCCTATAGCAATTTATTCGATACGTACGTCGCCGGCTGCACTCTGACCGCTAGTTGATCCCGAACCCACTGCGCTAGGCTACAGCTGGTCAGTCACAGCGTTCTGGCATCACGAATTCTATTCCACCTTCGAGATAGCAACGAACGTGCCATTGTTCGCGAATCGTCCACGGTGCGAACGATCTTGGACACTGTGAACTATTTACAACCTTTGTCGATGTTGATGAGTGGGACGGGTACTACCAGTGAAGTTTGAGGGAATGCAGGTGTATGCAGAACCGTCGTCGGCCTCTAAGATTCTGCTCTTGTCTAGTGTACAACTCAATTGTGGTATATTGATATTATAGGCAATTGATGCTGTGAGACCTGGGGCATATGCATCTGAACAAACCAGCGCATCAGCTCGTGCCCCCTTTTCCTGAATCAATGACATAATGATGGAGTCTGGGTACCAACTGGTAGAGCACACTGTCGAATTCATTCCCCAGAGCAAAATAGTCAGGTAGGCTAGTATAAGCAACGCTACTCAAAGGAAGCGTTCATCAACGGGACGTATTGCGCTACAGAGTGTTACAGGGTGCTACAAAGCACTTTGTATAGCAAATTATGTTTCCCTGATGGGCTTATAGACAAGCCGGGTGCATTATAGCTACCTTCACATCGATAGGCCAGAATCCGTGTTTGTTCATTCGCCGCTTTTGTGGAGCTGGCCAAACAGACTACTAGTGGCCAGGCTGATGTGCACGGCTCGGCTTGAGGCCCTAGGCCGGCCCCAATAGCATTGCTCCTATTTGTACGAATCAGATATATTCGTTGAACCAATATATCTGATTTCTTCGTCGTCACCACGAAAACTAACAGCAACGCACAGAACAGCATGCCCACAACCTTCCGTAGGCCTGACTGAGATGCATAGGCTCTTTCCCTGGTGTGCAAGTTCCCAAATCCTCCTTTTTGACGACGTATGGTTCGTCACAGGATACGCCCTGAGGTATCGCTGCCACTGGGGCAAACATAGCACTGGGAGTGGCAAGGATTGTGAGATAAACGATTTGAACGAGCTTCATGGTATGGATTGTATCTGGTATAACTGTGCATCAGCCTACGATGTGACCATGTGAGGAAACCACACACCCACAAAGGTCTGATTGCGCAATGTGCATGAAGTTGCTATGACTCGGACAAAGTCTTAAAAGAGCTATTATATGTCGGTTCAATGAAATGCGCATGGTGTGGCGGAAGAGGGCTACTCACCGCAACAGGAGGCGTTCGTATCTGAGGCCTTTTCAACTCAACCGCGTTAATTTTATACCTGTTCTCGTCAGCACTGGAACTATACTCGGAAGAAATTTTATAATGAGAAGACATGTAGCCCTTAGAAATCAGGATGCCGCGGGCTGAGGTTCCCATGTCGCTCCGATCTTGCTAAATACATAGCATGTACTGATTATCCATTGCTTGCTGGTTATAACGTATGGATATCCGGTTCCAACGCGCGCATGCGTATCTGTCGTATACTTCCTTTATCCTAATGGTTCTGAGAGTATGTCCGCCTCACCTGTACGTGCACTCTCCGCCTCTAACTTCCTCCAGATTTATTTTACAGACTCTACCAATGCTCAAGCATTAAACGCGACGCTGCACCTCGGTGATCCAGAGTTGTCCTTTATGAGACGATTCACGCTACGGCGAGTCAGCACTAGGCCGAGTGATGTCCTGCTGCAACGTCTACGTTCCAAGTTTCAAGTGTATGCACACCTATCGCGTGGTTCCTTCATCCCATCCTAAATGCGACATTAGGGGAGTTCAAAGCTGGATTTCGAGGCTGATTTGGATGCGATTTGGACGTGGATTTGGACCAAGTTGGATTTGAAAAACGCCGAAATCCGATTTCAACTTTGGCATCCCTCGATTTCGACCTGATTTCGACGGATTTGACTCACTGTCTTCGCGCTTGCCGCGTTGAAGTTTGAATTATCGCAGCACAACGATAGTTAACAAGACCGTTGTGTGTATTCTAGTTCTGCACTCGTACCTAAGTTATTGCGTAATAGAGTATCAACTGAGCTGCTACACCTTCAAACAGTCAGGTGCGGCTGTTGCAACCTGTCATTGGCACCAACCACATACCAGTGATCAAGTCCGAATTTTGTGATTCTCCAAGTCAATGAACGAGCCGGAATTTGATAGAAAATGTATTATCCGGTAGCTCTAACAAAGTCCTGGCGATCTTGATGAAACATGCATAGGGCTGAGCAGAATCTCCAACGCTCGAATCAGGATCGTACATTGAATGATGCAAGCTCAACTTCAGCAGGAGATCATCCTTGCCGCACAACTTGAAGTTGTTATACCCAGATCCTGTTGTACGACTTCAATCTTACCCACAAATCATCAGCCCTGAGTGCACAACCACATCTGGCTCCGAGGTCATAAACTGGAAAATGTAAATTCAAGTCGAAATTGGATGTGCATATCGTGTAGGTATACAGTCTCAAAGTCTTAAATATCAAAGTCCTTGGCAACAAGTTTTGCGTGGCCATGACCGGATGCTACATGCGAAGTCGTCAAAAATACTTTGATCAGCAAGGTGGGAAGACGCACAGTATCGATCATATGCCAATATGCACGAACAATATACGCTGGTCCAAAGGTATGTCTTGGTCAGAACCTAGTAAATAGACTGCTCGGTGCAGCGCCCGGGCAGCTCGTTTAGAGTTCATCGTGCCATCCCCGCAAAAGTTTTTGTAGAATGCCTTGACTAAGCGCTCCACGGTACTATCGTTGACCTTCCATAATGTTCCAATAACGCTCTTGACCCCGGCAAACTGCAGGCCAGCCGCTAGGTGTATCACTTCATCAGGAGTGTTGTGGTCACCCACTGCGGTTTCGCAGGCAGAAAGAAATGCAAATTGATGCCGAGACAGATCTGTTTGTGTGATGTCGAGGAGCGAAAGAGGCTCGTCGCGCATAAGAAAGGCCGATTTGAAGGGTTCAGCAATGTTTTGTGTCCCGTGACACGCAAGATGAAGCCAAGTATTGTCTCGCAATGCGCACAGTGCTCTCGATTTTGTGGCATCCACACTGGTGATCTTGGAAAACGAAATAGTTGGGGGAGGGGGCAAAAGGCTCCGTACCAATTCCAGTTCAGGTTCCACAGCATCCAAAGTGAATGAGGCACCGGCTGGGCGATTCTGACCAATCGCAACGAAGGGCACCGATGGGGACCTTTCATGACTTCTGCGAGCCTTGATCAGCGCGGTGAGCGATGGCGTGTATGAAGAAATGTAGAGATGTGAAAGGAACCGTCCTTGTTTCCTGTACTCGCCAGCGGCATGCAACGGCAAGAAATTGAAGACAGATGTCGGGCACCACCATATTCGAGAACCTCGTGGTGCAATTCCGTCCAGATTCTCGACCACCGGGCGGACGACGTCATCCCACAACTCCGTCAAGGCTTTTTTAAGCGCTGGACTATCTGTGCGATGGAGTTTGTCCACCAGCATCTGGAGCTTCTCAACACTGGTAGATAGTTGGATGCTGATAGGAGTTTGCTTGTGTGGGATGATAATGGCATGGCAAGACGACTTGCTTTCAATGAGCACGATGATGGGCCCTTCGCGAGCTGCTTCTTGAAGATCGGAGAATAAAGGGGGGAGGAGGAAGCGAGATAAGCCCTCTATTTTCCGGATCTCCTCTACAGCGCTATTCCACTCCTTCACTAGACGTCTGTACCGGGTTTCTTCTGCTTCTACGTCGATTTTTAGGGTTCCATCCGGAAGGCTCGTAGGAGGTTTATCAAGGAGGGAGCTGAGGTTTCTAAATTTCTTCATCAGGGTGACTGCATGATCACCGCGGGTCTGGAGGCCGTCAAGAGGCATGCGGAGTCGCGTCATCTGGGTCCAGATGATAGTCCTTCCTTGCTCCAACAACTCAACAGCACGACATACATCACCGCTACGAAGAGCACACGATGCAGCATCAACGGCAAGTGTACTTGGGAAGTCCTTCATGACGTCATGTCGAGATGAAACTGAAGCCGTCGTAGACATGTAAGTGTCCAGAAGTTGCATGGCAGTCGCATAAGCCTCCAGTTGAGTAGCATGTTTGTATTCATCAGCATAGTGAACCCAGTCTAGACTAGCTCGCAGGCGGGATAGCGAGCCTCCTGAGACAACATTTGCTGCTGACTTGAGATGATCCATGACGACATTCAGACTGTCAATATCTTCGCCCGGGCCAGTGCCGTCAATGCCTGATAGATGGAACAACAGATAGACATAAGCTAGCGATAGATTGACTGATATTCGACGAGGATCATGTTGCCTCAGGAGAATCAACGCACAACGGAGGTTCTCTCGTGCCTCGTCGAGGTCTTCTCTGTTACCTAGGTGTTCAAAGCGGGACATGAATGGATGTGCGAGGTTACACAATGATTGGGACCGATCTGTATGACCGATCGGGAGCAAGGCCAGCGCTTCTCTATAAAGTGCGATAGCCTGATCTAAGTCTTCGTCATTGCCTCGGTGCTCAAAGCGGGAGGAGAGTTGATTCGCGAGGTTATGTAATGATATAGACCGATTTGTGTGACCGACGGGGCGCAAGGCCAGTACTTCCGTGTGAAGTATGATAGCCTGATCCAAGTCTTCATCATTGCCTCGGTGCTTGAAGCGGGAGGAGAGTCCAGTCGCGAGGTTATTTAATGAATTAGACCGATCGATGTGACCGACGGGGCGCAAGGCCAGCGCTTCCCTGTCAAGTGCGATGGCCTCATCCAAGTCCTCTTCGTTGCCTCGGTGCTTAAAACGGGAGGAGAGAAGAACCGCGACGTTACTTAATGACATAGATCGATCTGTGTGACCGACCGGATGCAAGGCCAGTGCTTCCCTGTCAAGTGCGATAGCCTGATCCAAGTCTTCTTCGTTACCTCGGTGCTCAAAGCGGGAGGAAAGAAGTTCTGCGAGGTTATTTAATGAATTAGACCGATCGGTGTGACCGACGGGGAACAAGGCCAGCGCTTCCGTATGAAGTGCGATAGCCTCATCCAAGTCTTCTTCGTTACCTCGGTGCTCAAAGCGGGAGGAAAGAAGTTCTGCGAGGTTATTTAATGAATTAGACCGATCGGTGTGACCGACGGGGAACAAGGCCAGCGCTTCCGTATGAAGTGCGATAGCCTCATCCAAGTCTTCGTCATTGCCTCGGTGCTTGAAGCGGGAGGAGAGTTGATTCGCAAGGTTATTTAATGACATAGACCGATCTGTATGACCGACGGGGCACAAGCCCAGCGCTTCCGTATGAAGTGCGATAGCCTTGTCCAAGTCTTCTTCGTTGCCTCGGTGCTCAAAGCGGGAGGAGAGTTCTTTCGCGAGGTTATTTAATGAATTAGACCGATCTGGGTGACCGACGGGGCGCAAAGTCAGCGCTTCCGTATGAAGTGCGATAGCCTCATCCAAGTCTTCTTCGTTGCCTCGGTGCTCAAAGCGGGAGGAAAGAAGAACCGCGAGGTTATTTAACGACATGGACCGATCTGTGTGACCGACGGGGCGCAACGCCAGCGCTTCCTTATGAATTGTGATAGCCTCATCCAAATCTTCTTCGTTGTCTCGGTGCTCAAAGCGGGAGGAGAGATCAGTCGCGAGGTCATTTAATGATGTGGACCGATCTGGGTGACCGACGGGGTGCAAGGCCAGCACTTCCCTGTCAAGTGCGATAGCCTCATCCAAGTCTTTGCTTGTGCCTCCATGCTGGAAGCGAGCTTCCAGCATGAGTGCTAAATTACCTAGCAGCTGCGCTCGACGAGAATGTCCACTGTTGTAGTACCCCAGTGCGTCAAAATGAAGGGATATCACTTCATCTAATTCCTGGTGTTCATCTCCCTGCAAACACCGCTCTGCTCGCTCAACAAGTTGATCCGGCGATAAAGGAAGCACAGATTCTGCCCGCCGCTCCCGCTCAAAATCATTTGCATCAATCTTTCCGGCAAAATGCAGAGCAGTTGTTTTAATTGTAAATGAAGCTGCTCTGTGAATGTGGCTGTTGAAGTGGCAGACATCGAGGACTTCGCTCAGTAACTCTTTAGCTGTGTCAGCATCTGTTTGAAAGCCGTGTTTCGCGCAGCGAGAGAGCAGAGAAATGGCAAGATGGAGTTGAGTGGTAGGTCGGTCTGGATGACCCATGGGACGCGAATCAAGAGCACGTTGAAAAAGACAGATAGGAATGTCGAGGTCGAGGTATATCCCATTAGCTTGGCAACTAATGAACTTTGCGCTGGCTAGATTGAAGAGTGCTGCAGGGCGGTAGGGATGGTCCACGGGACAGAGATCCAACGCGCATTCAAAGTGGTTTATGGATTGGTTGAGATCCCCACTGTCCTGCGTCCTGCGGTATTGTACGAGATGACGATGTCCGGTATCAGTCTCTAGTGCTAACGAATCCATATCGTCTGACATAACCTACATGTTACGCGTCTCAGCGTCACAGTGCCCGACTTTATCAATCACTCACGGTAGTAAGGGGGCATAGACCGGCGGTATCATTTTGATCAGGCAGTCGCTGCTCCACTGTCATGAACAGCGAAGTACAAGCGGATACGACTTCATCCTCCTTTGGCTCAAATATTATGGCTACGATACTCGTTAGCATCCATCAGGTGTTACTTGCAATAGATAATACTGACAAAGCGATTTTTTGCTGCGATCCAGTAGTTCTCCGACAGAGATCTCGAACGCGCGCAGGAGTTCTCCGTGACAGACCATGGGACTCATTTCAAATGAGGCATATACGCTGACCTGAACTTTAGAAGATGGCTCGCATGGCCTCGGGTGTTTCTTAGTACCTGCAGGACAGACGGGTTTAAGGACAACTTACAGAAGAATGCGCTCGTGCCATTCGATGACAGCCTGGTCTACGTTTACAGGCTTGTTGCTTGTCTGGTATTCAGCACCATCAACCTTGACCACTGCATAGAACCCAGCAGGAATCCATCGGAGACCAAGGGTGAGATCAGTTGCGCAAATGGCTTGGAAACGTCAATATGCGCTAAACAGAGATTGATATTACATACTAGTAATGAGCACTTGTTGCACTCCACTGAGGTGTACCTCTCCCGGGTCCTGGGTGTGTCCTGGGTGGCTTGTCTCCTGACTAAACAATATGCATATTGTTACATTTAGATGATCAGTGTTTCATATACTTACTCGTCCTTTTTTTGCCTAAAAACGCGAGATTAACTCCATAGATGTGCTGTACAACACAACAACTTACGACCGAGGACGCTTTGAACTCTTCGTCTTCTTGTTTGACGACTTACGCTTACGCTTTTTCCCTTTCAAGGGCTCGGCACTGGGAGCAGGTTTCTCTCCTGGAGGAGTAGGGGAGGGTTTGCGCGATGAGGCTGAAGAAAAGTCAGAATCAGAGTGTGATTCTGACGAGCTTGAAGACTCGAAGGTGACACGTCGACGACGGGCCATAATGATGGCTGAGGGATGGATCTAAACTAACACTTGAGAATAAGACGTGTGCTGGGGGTCACGAAACACTGCAGTACCTGTGACTTCTTGAAGGATTATAGAGGAGCGGCACAGGATGCACACAGCACCCGCAATGAGTTCACAGATAGAAGCGACTCGCAAAATACCGAGCCACCCATAGCCTCATTGACAGTGTGCGTGAGATTTGTACACTGGCAGACGCGCATTCTAGATTGAGATATCGATTAAAATAGCCAAAACAATAAACAAGGCTGAGTGCTGAGGACTGAGCGCAGGGCATTCCACATGATCCATACTTTCACAGCCTGAGGAATTCGTGCAGCCTATTGCGAAGCACTGTCTGAATGTCGCCGGCCTTCAAAGTTTGACAAGGACATTACCTACAGCTGCTGTCAGACAATGACACCGTATTGCACGTTGAACTTGTTGCGATACAAGGAGTGCGGCAATCAGTACCAGTACTTGGCAAGGATCGATCTGTCAAGGGTTCAACACAAGTCACGAGTTACGGTGCCGATTTGCCGTGAGTTATTTAGAAGTCCGATTGGTGCATGATCCGGAATGACGGATTTACTATGTAATCTCTAAGTACTAACCCGACGACATATTGCAAGCAGCGAGCGCATGTAAAAGTCGACGGAATCTTCAGGTGATTCTGGCTCTAGTATTGTCCTATCCTTAACATATTCTTGGCCAGCAGTTCGCTATATCGTTGAGGGCACGCGTCAAGCAAAAAAACTTACTGTAACTTCGAGGCTCGAGGGAGCGACATGGGTTCCTCGTCATGTCAGAGTCGCGTGCATAGGACTCGTAAAGGTATCTGTGAGTACCAGCACTAGGTCATGCTCATATTATGATGACACGCTTTCACGACTCTGCTGTTCGAGTGATTGGCTTCTTCTTCGGTCATTCCTATCCTGATGATGACCCTTGCACACATCGCACAACGCATGATACATTCTACAAATATAACTATCGATGGGGTTTAAGATTTAGATCCACTGCAGCTAAAGACAACCGATACGAATATATGCTCCCACTCGCTGCCTGGTACCCATCAGAACAGAACTAATGCAGGTGGGTCATCCCTAACAAATGCCTGTATCATTCGTGTCTGCATCGCCGGGTGGATTTGTGGTCATTTCCAGTCACAGCAATAGCCATACGAGTGTGCCGATACGAGTTGCACGCGCGTAGCGAGATCTGTTTACCGGGCTCCCATCTCCAGGGACTGCTAACATCTGTGACGCCGTAGGAGATACCCCCTTGGGGCATCGACTGCAGTCAGTAGCGAATCCGTCTACGTATCCCTTTTCCGGGATCAGCCAGAATCGCTTGAAACGTATGGGCATACAACATATCTCCTGTTTCAAGGTAGACTCCTGTTTCAAGCGTAACCAAACGACTCAATATGTTCTTTTGGAATCGATCGATATCATCTTGGTCCGAAGGGTTATCCCCCTGTGCCACATCTCGGGGCGAATCGCGTGCCATACCAGTGCCTCGCCAAGGACCCTTACAATAGATCAAGTCGGACGCGAAACAGTCACTCCTGTCCGAGTTTGAAAGTCGTCTTACCTTGTAACACGCATGACAGCCGACAGCATTGACTCGAATACCCGTCAGGATCGAACGTTCGAACATTGAAACGATGCAAGCTCAAATTCAGCAGGACATCATCGTGCATGTTCACTCGACTGTATTGTTTTAAGACATAACGCGGGGCTTCGTATTTGGCTAATGACCAGTGGTTTCATACGTATCTCCCGTTCCTACCTCGCAAGCCATTCAAAATGCTCGACCAGGACCCGTAAGGTCCTGCGAATATGGTTAAACCAGCGTGAAGCTCTTGTTTCCCGTCTCAAGCTCTTCATAAGTACTGGATGTCATGGTGAGTGGGAGTGCATCCAACGCCCTTACTCAATTCAGATACTCGACTATCACATTCATCGCAAACATTTTGCGTCTTGCCACATGAGATGTTACGCCAGATCAGTGTCGTGGAACTTCATTCTTACTCACAGATCATCAGCTCGAGTGCACAGGAGCAGTCTCCTCTGGCTCTGGCGAGGCAACAAAGTTAAAAACGAAAATTGAGTCGAATTTGGGTGTGCGTATCATGTAGGTGTACAGTCTCCAAGTCTGGAATATCAAAGACGCTGGCAACAGCTTGCGCGTCACCATGACTGGACGCTACATGAACTTGTCAGATAGAACTGAACTGACCGCGTATGGATAATTGATTGACGGGGATAATGTTGCGTCAATGCACGGTGTAGCTTCTCCAATGGGTCTCCTGTTATGTTGGTGCTCAACGCAGGTGGATAGTCGATGCACTAAGTGATTTAGTCTCATGGACTGATTGGCGTAACCGACCGGGCACAAGGCCAGCACCTCCTTGTGAAGTACGATAGCCTGATCCAAAGTCTTCGTCGTTGCTTCGGTGTTGAAAGCGGGAGCAAAGTTGAGCCGCGAGGTCATTGAATGTCATGGACCAATCTGGGTGATCCACGAGGCGCAAAGCCAGCACTCCTGTCTGAATTGCGATAGCCGGATTCAAGTCTTTGAGTATCACAGTGGATCATAATGAAGAGATATCACTTTATGCAACGCACGTGGTTCATCTCTCTGCAAACACCGCTCATTCGGCAATAACGGGAGCATGGATGCAGCAGGCCGCTTTTGTTCAAGATCATGTAAGGCTGCTATTGAGTTCGACGGGGATTGTACCCTTGGTGTCGGAAATGAAACTGACGCGAGAGTTAGAGAGAGTATGATAACGAGCGGATCGGGATTCAGAGTAGAGGACTCTCAGAGGGATGGACTGCGTGCATCTAGTGGGAAGATAAAGATTCTCTGTTGAAAAAAATGTACATGGTTGTATTTAAGTTGCGAGAGTGTAAGGGTCCTCGCTGTTACGAGATTGAAGGTTTTTTGTGAGACGGAAAATAGGTGGCGCTGCGCCTGACAGGGTAGAGCTGCGGGAATGAGTGAGGGTACGAAATATTTGAATGAAGGTGGTATTAGGTGGCTTGCCGTGCACAGGAATAACGAAAGTTTCGTAGCGGCTTGACTGTTTTTAGGGCAATAGAGTGAAAATGAGACGAATTAACGAGAGAAAGGGTTTGTGAATGTCCAGGGTTTCGTATGAGGGTGAGTGAAGGACCGATCTAGTTGTCGACGATAACGAAACATGAAGGTAAGAAAGGAGGATGTATCCGCGTGACTCGGATGCGAAGCGTAGTGCTTCTTCGCATCAGTGAGTCACATGGCTGACTGGACACGTGTCCTTATGTCTCGTTGAGAAGGTATAGTCGGGGTGTACAGGATATGCGATCCTTACATCCC